ATATGATCCCTAAGCTTAGGGAGCTCACTTCCTCGTTAGAAAGCTATTTTTCTTAATTAATTGTTTCTATTGACCCATCACCATCTCTGCCAGACATCACTAGCTCACTGAGTGTTCCTAATCAAGTCATTTCCCCTCTCTGGATAATAGATTCCTCATTTGTAGAAAGGAGTGGGATGATCCCTGTTCTTCTTCCCTTCCAGGACTGTCACCCTCCCCTAGTGATGGCAATTAGATAGTGTAATGGATAGACTGCCGCACTTGGAATCAGAAAGACCTGAGTTCAAACCCTACCTCAGATGCTTACTAGCTGTGTGACTCTCAGCAAAGCCACTTAACCTCTTCCTGCCTCAGTTTCCTCATCTGCAAAACGGGTATAATAATAGCAGCTACCTCACAGGATAGTTGAGAGTATTGAAAGAGATCATATATGTAAAGCACTTATATACATGTTGGTTATTATTATTATAATATCAAAAGGTTGGGATGGTGCCATATAAACTGGTTTTACATATATATGTATATGTATGTGTATATATACACACACATGTGTGTATGTGTGTGTCAGAAACTGTCATTACTATTCCCAAAGACAGTGGGGTATGTTTCAGAAGAGCCAAGGAAAGAAGGAGCTTCAGGCCCTTTCTCCAGAGGTGAGAGGGAACAGCAAGGATACCCCTCCGAGGAGGGCTTGGCTCTGGGGAGGACATCCCAGGCCTACTGAAGCCAGCACCTGCCTTAGTGACTTCCTACCTATGGCTACTTACTATCACAGTATCTTCTGCCTTGGTATAGTAGAATATAGCTCCCTTAATAGTTTCTAATAAGCCTTTAATTTCTTTCTCTGTTTCTCATTTGTAAATGTCTAAATGTGTTTGGGGATTTTATTCCTTCCATTCATCTCTCTTTTCTTTTGCAAAACTATAGTAGCCAAGGTCTATTTCATAATTGAGCTTCAAGCTAAAGACAACGTAGTTCAGTTAAGGTCTCCATAGGGGCAGCTTCTTCCCCACTCTCATTTGCAATACTCTTAGACATTGAAGATTAGGGTGAGAATATCTGCCAGCTCACCTAAAGTGGCTTGTTTCATTGCTGAACAATGGAACAGGCCACTTTGTTCTAACTGTGATGGTTAGAAAATTCTTCCTTTATATTGAGCTAACAACGACCTCCTGTAACTTCCACCTACTGGCCCTGGTTCTGCCACCCGGGGTTGCACCAGAACACCAGTAATACCTCCTCCATGTTTTAGCTCTCCACATAGTTGATGACATCAATCCTATTTGGACTCTCAACCACAGGGCTGCAACTGAATGAGGAGGGGGCATAACTAGCATCTTGCCACTTTCAAATGAATTATCATGGGTTGATTCTTTGTGTCCAACAAATCATCATTCACAACACTTTATACCTTTCCCTACAGGGTATTTTTCCCGACCTTGTTCTATGCATAAATAGCACAGTGCCAACAACCATTTCTCCTCAATTCAGCTGGCTCCTTCCCAGGTCCCCAGGACTGGTTGATTCTGTGAATACTTTTTTTACTTTGGCCCCATTCTCTTTAGTCTTTTGACTATATCCCTTTTCAAACCATTCCCCCACCCCTATCATATTCTCTGCCTATTAATTGTTTCTATTCATTGGTCCCCACTACCTTAGGGGATGGGACTCTAATGTCCCTAAGTTTTCTTTTTTCCAAACTAAATATTAAATTTGTGATTGGAAGTTTCAAATATCTTGATCTTTAATTCAGCATTATTGACTCAGAGAAGGAAGGGTTATATGAAAGAATGATCAGACTTGCTTAGTTTCAAGCTCTCGAGTAGGGTGAGACCTCCATTTAAATCCTGTTTCCAACACTTGCTAGCTACATGACCATGGCTAATTCATTTAACCACTTTGTAAACTATTAGAGGCTATATAAATAAGAGCTATTATCATCAAGATTATTATTATTTAAAGATTATTTAAGTCTTCTCTAGGTCTAACTCTGCACCTTTCCCCTTGTTTTAGGATTATGACCTAAGCCAACTTCAACAACCAGAGACAATGGACCACGTATTAAACAAAGCACCAGGTGTGAGACGAGTGGATGAGAGGCCAGTAGGGGCTGAGCCCCAGTACCCTATCCGGCCAGTTGTCCCCCACCCAGGAGACATTGGTGATTTCATCAATGAGGTGAGCATTTCCTGACACTCTAAAAGGGAGTGAACTAACAGGATAGGATAGTAGAGTTAGACATGGAAAGAGTCTTCAGAGCCTGGTGGCGTGCAGCTAAAAAGAGAAAATTTGCCCAGACTCCTTCGAAGAAAATACTACAGATATGTCAAAGCCAGGCATGATTCCAGAATGCAGTTCTGGACTTTATGTTGCAGATGCCAACTTACATCTGGAGGCACTCTAGACTGAGTTGCCTCAAAGCTTCCATTGACCATGATTCTTAGACACTTGGCTCCTAGCCCAGAGAGTCTTTTTTTTTCCCTTGTCAAATCAAATGAATGTGCTTCCTTTGAAATAAAAAGATTAAGAAGTTGGCCTTGGCATTAAAAAAGAGAGAGAGAGAGAGAGAGAGAGAGAGAGGGCTGGACATACCTGTAGCTAGAAAGGGCTATCTCCTAAATGGTACTTCTTAGAGAAGTGAGAAAGGAACAAACATTTATTAAGCACCTACTATATGCTAAGCACTTTACAAATATAATCTCATTTGATCCTCACAAAAACCTTCAAGGTAGGTGCTATTATTGTCTCCATTTTACAGATGGGGAAACTGATGTTGGAGGATACTAAGTGACTTTCCCAAGGTCCAACAGCTAAATGCTTGAGGTCAGATTTGAACTCATGTCTTCCTGACTCTAGGCTCTATCCACCTCACCACCTACCTGCTTTTAGAAGAGATCTAAAAGGCTCCCTGACCAAAAACTTCTCCCTCATTGGCTTGCTCTGGCGCCTGGAATTCTACCATTAGACATTCCATTGGCCATCACTTTATCAATGTGGGATTGATTGCTAGACTAGTGACCGAGAATCTATCCCCATTCTGCCATCACTGTCACCTAAGCACTAGGGTGCAATTAAATAAAATTCTACTAAGGAAATCAGCAGTTCCTGGAGTATGTTCTCGCAGTCCAAATATACAAGTAGACTTTCCATTGGAGTGGCCAAATGAGTAGAGATAATATGGAGCACATTTTTATCACTCACTTATGCTTTTCCCATTTAAAAATAGAATGTTTTTTTTAAAAATAAGTAACCATAACACTTTAATAATCACAGTACATAAAAATACACTTAAAAGAAGGCTTTAAAGACATGTAGGAGTATCAGAACCCTCTGGCACAATTAGGTATCACATTTGCTAGTTAGCTGGTACCTCATTTTTATCCCACGCTTAAGCAGAAGAAATCTAATTTACCCAATTTTTTTTTCTTTGAGTCGAAAGTTTCTCTTAGTGAAGAAAACTTCTGACTACTTAGATAATATCCCCACCCTACAGTAGAAAGTGAGCTCCATGAGAGTGGGAACTGTTTTGCTTTTTCCTTCGTATCTCTAGAGACTAACCCAGTGCCTGGCACATAGTTGGGGCTTATGAATGATTTGTTTTTATTTGAATTGAAGCTAGTAGTCTAGTAGTAGTATAGACAAAAGTGAACTGTCCAATATGATCCTTCTTCCAAAGCCAGAAAGAGAAAAAATATAACTATATATACATATATACACACATGTACATACATATACATATATGTATGTATACATATACACACATGTACATGTCTGTGCATATTTTATATATACATATGTGTACATATAAATTTATGCATATACATATATGTATATTTTATACACACATGTACATACATGTATATGTATACACATAAATATATACATATATTTTTATACATACACACACACCATGTGTTTGTACATCAGCAAAGCAGCACCCCATGTCTTTTCCATCCATTGGTTGCTCAGGCAGGTAATTTCTTAACATAACGAGGTTCTCCTTCACATAAAATGCTTGTCATTGAACCAGGTTTCTAGAAATAAGCACACAGAAAGTCTTTTTTTTAAGCATCACAAGTTCCCCATGGCTTTTACAGCTTGAGCTCTGACAAAAATTACATTCTTTCAAAATGGTAAACTCATAAAATGTTAAAGCAAGAAGGGACTTCCTAACATAGAATGTTAGAATTGGAATTGATTGATTAATTGATGAAACATCACTTAAGTGCTTACTTTGTGCCAAACATTGTTCTAAATGCTAGGGATACAGATACAAACTCAACCCCAGCTCTCAAGGAGCTCACATTCTAATTCAAAGAGATAACACATATGGAAGGCCTCAGCCACAGAGTAGATACAAAGGTCCAGTGGTCTGAACAATACAATTCCAGGCAGATGGTGAGGCCGGGGGGACTCATGGCTTACTGAATTGTTGTTGGTGACTCCCTACTCATTAAAGCAGTGTAAGTGGCTGTGTCTCTATGACGGTCGGGAAGAACAGAGTAGGGCAGAGGGGCAAAGTGTTTTGGTTGTTCCTAGCTTCCTCCCAAGGGGATACAGATGGCAGGAAAGAGCAATGAGGATGGCAGGAAGGTTGGAGGGAAGGAGAAATCTCAACAGGAGCTGTATAGGGAAAGGTCTGAGGCAGGAAAAAGGGTTCTTCATGGACTTGCCTACTCTAGGCCCTCTGGCACTTAGTTGGATGTGGGCAAGGAGTGGACTGAGGGATGGGATATCCCTATGACTTGGTACCCTCTACATCCTCCTGTGCCCTGTAGAATCACTGGAACGGACCTTAGAACATAGACCTTATAGATATAGAAGAGAACTTAGAGTTTGTCTAATTCAACAGAAGAAGCTGAAACCCAGAGTGCCTTGCCCCAGATCACATAGCTAAGTGTCCTAATATAACTTCCTGACCTCCAGTCAAGAGAGTTTCTAAAATCTTAGGCTATGCCAGGATTTAGCTTTGGAAAAACACACATGTATTTGAATAGAACATGATCTTTCCACAGAACTCTGAAGTGATTTCTTCCCATGGTGACTGGAGCTTGAGGACTTTGAGCTGAGAGGTATAGTCAGGTGAAAGTCATTGGCCTTGTGCCACCTGAGAAAGCAACAGAAAATGCAGAAAGTGTTGTCATCACTCCTCTAATTCACTGCCTCTGTAAAAGGAGGTGAAACATGAATCCTAATTTGAGACAGTCCCTTCTTCTCTCTTCTGTCCCAGAATGTGTGAGAAATTGTTTTTAGCAAACGGGATTTATATTTAAATGTGTGTAGCATAAACTAGTTACATCCTTCCCTTCTGGAGTGAGGATAAAGGGACTTGAGAAACCATTTGGAGACTGCAAATTCGTGAAATGTGTGCACATTGTCCTCAGCCTTGGTGAGGAAAGTAGAAAATGCAATCCTTGAAGGTTAATTAAAGGATTTTTCATCCTTTAAAAGCCCAAAAGATGCTATCTAGTCATGATAATATTCCTGGTTATCTGGTGCAAGCCTTAGTTTGCAAGTGGGCAAACTGAGGTAAAGAATGGAGGAGCTATGGAACAGATTCCATATCAGGCATAGATGATTGGGCCCCATTTCTCCAGGAGTGCCCTGAGCAGTTCAGAGGTAGTAGAGATGCTCCTTCCTGATCTTTGTATAACAGCCCTGTTCAGGTTCCTAGAGCAGTTCTGTAGAAAGGAAGCTACTTGGGGATTGGACTGTGGAAACAAGATCATCAGATCGTAGGATAATAAACACATGCAGAATAACCACCACTCCTATGTACCCTCAACACTTGGATGTGCCGGTATCTTTTTACCTCCCCTCCGTTGTATCCTCTTAAATGTTTTCATCCCGTATAATTACTTTCAACAGAGTCATAATCACAGAATCTTAAAATTGGAAGGGCTTTAGAGATCCTGGTCCAACCCTTGGCCCAGAGGAGCTTTAGAATAGCTTAGGGGACAACTCCATCGCCCCCAGCCCCACCACCGGATTCCGTACTGCCTCCTTAACACACCCTGTCTCTTGTGAATCCAGGGGTTGCGAGCTGCAGATAACGACCCCACAGCGCCCCCCTACGATTCCCTGCTGGTCTTCGACTACGAAGGTAGTGGCTCCACAGCCGGCTCCGTCAGCTCTCTGAACTCTTCCAGCTCTGGGGACCAAGATTACGACTATCTCAACGACTGGGGACCCAGATTCAAGAAACTCGCGGACATGTACGGAGGGGGCGATGAAGATTAACTGACCTCATATTCTTAGAACAAAATAAAAAAAAAAAAGCGAACGGACAGCAGAGAAGCAAGAGCTGTACAGAAGTGGCAGCTTTTTTAATTACTCCCCCCTGCTGACTGTATTATTTTAGTGGTGAGTTAGGAGTTACTTTTATTTTTTTTCCCCAGAACATTGAGCTGTCTAGCATGAACACTTGTTGTCTCTGCTCCTTTTTTTTTCTTAAGTGTCAGCAGGGTTATGGCTCATTACAATATCCGCTTTATGACTAAGGAGAGTGAAAGGCACTCTGTCTTAACTTGAATTTCTTAGAACAGAAGTACTGTTTTTAAAAAAAAAAAATTTGAAAGTGCCTTTTGGTACATGTATCAGATTCCCTCGATCTCAGGAGCGATTAAAAACAAAAGTTTCGACCATCATGAGCAGCACTCTCTCTGACCCCAAGCTAGTTCTGGCTCTGAAGGAATAATGAAGGAACCATGGAGATTGTTTCTGGTTTTTGTTTTTGGGTGGTCTTTTTCTTTTTTTCATTTTTCAAAAGAAAAAATAAATAAATAAAAGTGGATGACTTGTTTCACAAAACTAAAACACACTCACACACACACACACACACACACACAAAACATATTTTGGGTGAAAATCCAAATAGCCATTCTTTAGTCCTCTGCAGGTGATGGTATAGTCATCCTTGCTGTTTATAGTTCAGTGTTAACAGATGCACTTATCACCTGGGATCCCTCTTCTCCCCTGGCCACAATTGAGGTAGCCACATTGAACAGCCACTTTGATTAGCCTTGGGCTATGGGCTTCTCTGGAAAGTCTCTACTAGACCTGGTGAAAACTCTCTACCCATATAACCACCAAAAGACCAAAGGAGCATCTCTTTGTGTCCTGCCTTCCACAGATTTCTGGCTGCCCCCAGGCTACTGAGTCCTGTAACTAAATCCTGGCCAAGCTACATGTTGCTGTCAGGCATCATCACTGATGCATAGCCACTCCCAAGGACAAATACTGCTTTTTTATCACTTTGACATTTCACAAGGACCCTGCTGGCCACCTTCCCACTCAGTGTTAAAGATGTAGCCTGGCTTCATTAGCCCATCACCCTCACCTCTATCTCCCTTGTCTAGTAAAGTATTCACGTTCCAAGCACCAACAGCCAAAGTCAGACAGCAACAAGTAAACCAGCTAGTGTGTGTCCCCACTTCCCAGTGGGTGCTTGACACAGCTCACTCTAATCAAGGCCACGGGGGAGAACGGCAACTGTGGATGAAGGCATGCTCACTCATGGTGCGTGCTCCTGGCTGTGCTCCAAGAATGCCAGCTTAGCAAAAGGTTTCATAGCATCCAGAGAATTGAATCTCAGAATTAGAAATGGTAGTAACTACCTAGTTTGTATGTAAGATCATTTTGAACCAATAACAAATAGCTATTAGATTTGAAAACAACCTTTTTCCCCATTACTGATTTGGACTTGTAGGTTCCTGTCTAATGTCTGTGACATGATTTCACCTGCATGGATGTGTGATATAAACCATGTTTCTTGGGTTAGAAGCCACCAAAGTCTCATGTTATGAGTCCCTGGGTAAACTGTGTATTTTTTTTTTATGTATTCTGCAACTGAGTTTGGAGTGAATATGGTAAAAGTGTCCAAGTGTTTAGCTCTCTTTTCCTTTTGATTCCAAGTCTATGTGTGGTGTCAGAAAGTGACTGAGGATGATGTTTTTTTTCCATGATGAGAATGATTTTGAAGGCTCAATATTAAAGGAGAAAGAGAGGCAGGGATCCCTCTGGTAGCAAACGGGTCCCATCAAGGAGAGCATACTGGGCTGCGATAGCTTACATGTGACGAACATGCTCTTTGTGCATTTCCCATTTCACCAGAGTCTATCTTCGTTAAGATGCAACTTCTGTGAACAAAAGAGTACTTGGAACATGTGCCATCTGGACTCCAGAGGGGACAGAAGGAACGTGAAATATGTACTCTTTCCATCTCCCATTTGCAATCCAGTGTGCTTTCCCCATTCACCACTTGGTTGGTGAGGAGGAAGAAGCTTAAAGGGAGATTCCTGAGAAAATGACATCATGTTAGGAACTCAGGAAATGCCCCCAAAAGTTTGATGGGTTGACAGGGGGACATCCCTCTAGTGCATCATGGTAGTTTTGTGGGTTTTGCTAAGTAACCTGCACTTGGTGGGGAACCTACAGTCCCCATACACAGCATCCTCTCCATCCCTTTCCAACACAGAAACCTCTACACCCATCCCAAGGTGCCTCTTACTTGGATATTCCCCTAGTATTCTGGTGGCTCTTTCCTGCCCCCATCATTTCTTGGAGAAAGGAGTGGTGAGTTGATGTTCTCAGCCTATGGCCCTTTTCCCTGTACTTTCCCCATTCCTATAAGGTACATATATGACAAACAGTAGAGTGTCTCTCAATTTAAAGTCATAGTTGTGCCTCACCTTCACCACCCCCATCTCCAGTGACTCTACCTAAGTGTACTGACTGTGGTGTGGACCAGTCATTAAGGTCCAGACAATGTTTCTGTCTCTTCTTGTACTTTCTAGAGTACTTCAGAGGAAAAGGAATGGGAAGGGTAGGGATGAGGAGGTAGAAGATCCTTTCTCAAATGACTGAGGGTCAGGGGCCCTCCTCTGGCCTATTTTTTCCCTCTATGCAGGCAGTCAGGTCCCCAAGGAGTTGTACTCACTGAAGATAAGGGGGAGGGCGGGTCAGGCAGGTGGTAGGGAGAGCTTCTCAGTGTAAGCTATTCCCATCCCACCCCACCCCAGTTCTAAGCCATGCTATGCAAACCACTCGGGGTCAGTTAGCCAATGAGAATTGTCTGAAATGTTCATGGGGATGAGGGAGCAAAACAGGGAGCGGGGAGGGGGGACTAATAGAATTGTTGTCAGGGTTAGGGTTGGTGGATTGTGAGTTGGGTAGTGGTTGTCATTTTTTTTTTTTTAGTTCTCTTAGGTAGAAGTTTTTAACCTGAGGACTGTGAATTATTTTTAAATGTGAATATGATTTGTTGACTGAAGCAGGTATAAATGTTTTTTCCCTGAGCTTCCCAAGAACAATAGCTGCTAGTTCTCAAGTCTAGCTCTGGGTACACTCTCTCTCTTCCTCTCTCCCTCTCTCTCTCTCTCTCTCTCTCTCTCTCACACACACACACACACACACACACACACACACACACACACACACACACAGGGGATCTTAACCATTTTTTGTATATGGACCCCTTTGGCAGTCGGGTTAAAGCCTATGGGCCCCTTCTCAGAGTAACATTTTTAAATGCACAAAATACAGCATAATTTGTTTCCCGTGTAATCTTGTGTAAAACACACAGGATTGCAAGGGAAACCAATTATACTGAAGTACAGCTATCAAAATATTAAAAATTATCAGACCCCCCTGAAATCTACTCACAAACTGTACATCAAGAACCCTGTTCTAGAAGGATGCCCCTGCATTAGGAACATCTTGCTGAAGAAGATGGGGAGAGGGGAGGGAGTTTGGGAAATGCACCCCTAAAGCTCTGCTCTGTGGAGAAAGGAATAATGTTGCCAAGTCCCACTTACAATCCCCATTGTTTAAAGTGGCACATACACCAGGATGGAAGAATAGGAAACTGGCTTAGCCCCTAAAAGGAGATAGTCACCAGGATCCTTTTCACTAACCTTTCATCTTGCAATGTAAGGCACGAAGAACTTAAGGAGCTGGTGAGAAAGCACCTTTCCTGCACTTATTCCTCTGAGCTTGCCTTTTTTGCCTCTTTGCTTCTTGCCACTGCCAATGGGCACCAGAGCATCTCTGTTGTCCACTCACTCTCTAAGAAGGCAGAGGGTATGGGAATGCAGGATGGCAAAGACTCCTCTATGCCTCAAAGACTAGCCTGCCCCAACTCCACTAGGGTTCCTGTCTCCTCCTAGAGCAGTCTTCAGGCCCAGGCTTGGGCTAGTGAATTAACATTAACCAAGAGTACAATCAATGTCAAAAGTTTGTGGTTAGTAGCTTGTAAATAGCAAGTTTCAGTGGAAAAGTGAGACTGAAGCCCCAGGAGCCCTTCCATAGGAAGCCAGAAGCCACTGGCATGGCAGGGTTCAGGCTCAAGATTTAGTTGGGGGGAGGGGAGGGAGTTTGTTCTGTAATGAGCAGAATGGTTCAGCACCAACCAGGGTTGGGCAGAGAACAGAATAGGGACATTGCTTCTGTTGGCCCTCTCTAGGCACTTGTCCACAAAACTGTCTCTTCTTTGTATTGTCTTTCAGCACATCCGGAGTGCTAGAAAAAAATGTCAGATTAAAAAAGCTAGGCTTCTGCCCCTCAGAAATGCCTCTATTTCCTTAGAGGGAGAACCTTGCCTGACATTCTCAATCAGAAAATAGGACTGGACACTTCAGCTTGCTTTCATTTAGGCAAAAAACAAAAAAAAAATCTCAATTTCTGGCAAAATCAAAGAAAAAAATAAAGATCTCAAGTACCCAGAATACCGCCTAAAACTGCTCACTGCAAATGTGTATGTATATAATGTAGGTACTGCTTGATGCTACAAATCAAGTTGGAGAAAAGCAACACCTATGTACAGAAAGAGAACGCTTCTTCCTTTTCCTTTCTCTCCTTTTTCTTTCCATTTGGATTCTTTTTTTCTTTTGCATGTTTCTTTTGACAATGGACAAAATGTGTAGCAGCCTGCATGATGGTGGTTGTTTTTGGGCAAGGCGACTGGTGTACGATGCATTCACACTGCAGCGCCAAGCATTGCGCAGTTCAACAAAAGGTCCAACTTTTTTTGTAATCGTCAACAGCACAACTCTTTTGTATTGTTGTTTGTACCATTTTGTACCAAAAAAAAAAAAAAAAAGAGGAAAAAAAAGGGAAGAGAGTCAATGTTTTCAATGTGTTTTTAGTGCCACTGCAATCTTGGTTCAAAACTGAGTGACAGCTTTGCGGATTTCTTGTGTATGGGAGCAGAGCTGGGTCGTTGGCGCGTTGCTCCAGTATAATAAATAAAGTCCCCCTTTTAAAGAGTCTGTCTTGGCTCTTTTTTTTCTCATTCTCTCTCTCTTTTTCCTCTCTCTCCTCTCTCTCTCTCCTCTCTTTCCTCCCCCTCCCCACCTTTCTCTCTTTCTCATCTATTCACTTTGATAATGGATGAAGAAACTATAGATTTCATCGGATCTGCTCTCAAAGCAAAGTCATTAACTGAACAGTACCCAATTCCCCTGGGACCTGAAGGGGCCCGAGATGATTGGCACTCCCAATTGCCCCAAACATGGCAAACTCACTGTCAACATTCTTGGTATCAGTTTCCTGTTCTCAAAGATTTCACTCATTCATTCAACAAACATTTATTAAGTAATTATTCTATTCAGAGCACACTAAAAGACTCTAGGTGAATCAATTAATAAGCCTTCATTAAGCACTTAATGTGTGCCGGGCACTGTACTATGCACTGGGGATATAGAGAAGAAGCAAAAACAGGTCCTGCCCTCAAAGAGC